ATACTGCCTTTATTAAAATGATATTGAGTTTTATTTGATGGGGTACGCCATACTGCCTTTATTAAAATGATATTGAGTATTATTTGATGGGGTGTGCCATACTGCCATTATTAACATGATATTGAGTATTATTTGATGGAGTACGCCATACTGCCTTTATTAACATGATAATTGAGTTAGGCCTTGATGGGGTACTTTATACTGCCTTTATTAAAATGATACGTATTGAGTGCTATTTGATGGGTAAAAAGCTATACTGCTATTAATTACGATAATTGAGTATTATTTGATGGGGTACCACACATCTTTATTAACATGATACTGAGCTGTAGGCCGGTTTTACACGCCTTATACTGCCTTTATTTAGATGTGATATTGAGTATTATTTGATGGGGTACGCCATACTGCCATTATTAACATGATACTGAGTATTTTTTGATATGGTACGCCATACTGCCTTTATTAAAATGATATTGAGTATTATTTGATGGGGTACGCCATACTGCCTTTATTAACATGATACTGAGTATTATTTGATGGAGTACGCCATACTGCCTTTATTAAAATGATACTGAGTATTATTTGATGGGGTACGCCATACTGCCTTTATTAAAATGATACTGAGTATTATTTGATGGAGTACGCCATACTGCCTTTATTAACATGATACTGAGTATTATTTGATGGAGTACGCCATACTGCCTTTATTAAGATGATATTGAGTATGATTTGATGGGGTACGCCACACTGCCTTTATTAAAATGATATTGAGTATTATTTGATGGGGTACGCCATACTGCCTTTATTTAAATGATACTGAGTAATATTTGATGGAGTACGCCATACTGCCTTTATTAACGTGATACTGAGTATTATTTGATGGGGTACGCCATACTGCCTTTATTAAAATGATATTGAGTATTATTTGATGGGGTACGCCATACTACCTTTATTAAAATGATATTGAGTATTATTTGATGGGGTACGCCATACTGCCTTTATTAAAATGATATTGAGTATTATTTGATGGAGTACGCCATACTGCCTTTATTAAAATGATATTGAGTATTATTTTATGGGGTACGCCATACTGCCTTTATTAAAATTATATTGAGTATTATTTGATGGAGTACGCCATACTGCCTTTATTTAAATGATACTGAGTATTATTTGATGGGTACGCCTATACTGCCTTTATTAAAATGATATTGGAGGCGACTTGATGTAAAATACACCGCCTTTATATTAAAATGATACGGTTATTTGATGGGGTACTATACCGCCTTTATTAAAATGATATTGAGTATTATTGATGGGTACTATACTGCCTTTTTATTAAAAATGTGATATTGAGTATGATTTGATGGGGTAAATGCCTTTTACACTGCCTTTATTAAAATGATATTGAGTATTATTTGATGGGGTACGCCATACTGCCTTTATTAAAATGATATTGAGTATTATTTGATGGGGTACGCCATACTGCCTTTATTTAAATGATACTGAGTAATATTTGATGGAGTACGCCATACTGCCTTTATTAAAATGATACTGAGTATTATTTGATGGGGTATGCCATACTGCCTTTATTAAAATGATACTGAGTATTATTTGATGGGGTACGCTATACTGCCTTTATTAAAATGATATTGAGTAGTATTGATGGGGTACGCCATACTGCCTTTATTAAAATTTTATTGAGTATTATTGATGGGGTACGCCATACTGTCTTTATTAAAATGTTATTGAGTATTATTGATGGGGTACGCCATACTGCCTTTATAAAGATGATATTGAGTATTATTTGATGGGGTACGCCATACTGCCATTATTAACATGATACTGAGTATTTTTTGATATGGTACGCCATACTGCCTTTATTAAAATGATATTGAGTATTATTTGATGGGGTACGCCATACTGCCTTTATTAACATGATACTGAGTTGTATTTGATGGAGTACGCCATACTGCCTTTATTAAGATGATATTGAGTATTATTTGATGGGGTACGCCATACTGCCTTTATTAAAATGATATTGAGTATTATTTGATGGGGTACGCAATACTGCCTTTATTAAAATGATACTGAGTATTATTTGATGGGGTACGACATACTGCCATTATTAACATGATATTGAGTATTATTTGATGGGGTACACCATACTGTCTTTATTTAAATGATATTGAGTATTATTTGATGGGGTACGCCATACTGCCTTTATTAACATGATACTGAGTTGTATTTGATGGAGTACGCCATACTGCCTTTATTAAGATGATATTGAGTATTATTTGATGGGGTACGCCATACTGCCTTTATTAAAATGATATTGAGTATTATTTGATGGGGTACGCAATACTGCCTTTATTAAAATGATACTGAGTATTATTTGATGGGGTACGCCATACTGCCTTTATTAAAATGATATTGAGTATTATTTGATGGGGAACGCCATACTGCCTTTATTAAAATGATATTGAGTTGTATTTGATGGGGTACGCCATACTGCCTTTATTAAAATGATATTGAGTATTATTTGATGGGGTACGCCATACTGCCTTTATTAAAATGATACTGAGTATTATTTGATGGAGTACACCATACTGCCTTTATTAAAATGATATTGAGTATTATGTGATGGGGTACGCCATCCTGCCTTTATAAAGATGATATTGAGTATTATTTGATGGGGTACACCATACTGCCTTTATTAAAATGATATTGAGTATTATTTTATGGGGTACGCCATACTGCCTTTATTAAAATGATATTGAGTATTATTTTATGGGGTACACCATACTGCCTTTATTAAAATGATACTGAGTATTATTTGATGGGGTACGCCATACTACCTTTATAAAGATGATATTGAGTATTATTTGATGGGCTACGCCATACTGCCTTTATTAACATGATACTGAGTATTATTTGATGGGGTACGCCATACTGCCTTTATTTAAATAATATTGAGTATTATTTGATGGGGTACGCCATACTGTCTTTATTAAAATGTTATTGAGTATTACTGATGGGGTACGCCATACTGCCTTTATTAAAATGTTATTGAGTATTATACGGCGGGGTACGCTTATACCGCCTTTTATTAAAATGATATTGGTATTATGTGATGGGGTACTTATACTGCCTTATTAAATGATACTGAGTATTATTTGATGGGGTACGCCTATCGCTAATATTAAAATGATACTGAGTATTATTTGATGGGTACCTATACTGCCTTCTATTTAAATGTTATTGAAAATATTGATGGGGTACGCCATACCGCCTCTTTATTAAAATGATATTGAGTGTTATTTGATGGGGTACCATACTGCTATTATTAAAAATGATACTCGAGTATTATTTTTGATGGGGTACGCCATACTGCCTTTATTTAAATGTTATTGAGTATTACTGATGGAGTACGCCATACTGCGTTTATTAAAATGATATTGAGTATTATTGATGGGGTACGCCATACTGCCTTTATTAAGATGATATTGAGTATTATTTGATGGGGTACGCCATACTGCCTTTATTAAAATGATATTGAGTATTATATGATGGGGTACGCTATACTGCCTTTATTAAAATGATATTGAGTATTATGTGATGGGGTACGCCATACTGCCTTTATTAAAATGATACTGAGTATTATTTGATGGGGTACGCCATACTGCCATTATTAAAATGATACTGAGTATTATTTGATGGGGTACGCCATACTGCCTTTATTTAAATGTTATTGAGTATTATTGATGGGGTACGCCATACTGCCTTTATTAAAATGATATTGAGTATTATTTGATGGGGTACGCCATACTGCCATTATTAAAATGATACTGAGTATTATTTGATGGGGTACGCCATACTGCCTTTATTTAAATGTTATTGAGTATTACTGATGGAGTACGCCATACTGCGTTTATTAAAATGATATTGAGTATTATTGATGGGGTACGCCATACTGCCTTTATTAAAATGATATTGAGTATTATTTGATGAGGTACGCCATACTGCCTTTATTAAAATGATATTGAGTATTATTTGATGAGGTACGCCATACTGCCTTTATTAAAATGATATTGAGTATTATTTGATGGAGTACGCCATACTGCCATTATTAACATGTTACTGAGTATTACTGATGGAGTACGCCATACTGCGTTTATTAAAATGATATTGAGTATTATTTAATGGGGTAC